GGCGGACGGGCTCGAAGATGCGATGTCGACAGCGACACTGAATGAGGAGAACGGGTGACGATGTCGGCGACGGCGCTAGAGGAGAACACGCTGAAGGAGAACAAGGGTGCTAAACGAAGAGAGTTAACTTTTGTGTTGTTTTGAGAGAGAGAGAGAGATGAGAGGAAAACTGATCAACATACACACACACACACACAAAACAAAAAAACAAAAAAACAAAAAAAACAAATTAAAAGAGGGGGAAAAATTAGAAGCCTATTTTTCATTACTGCCTAATATGTCAAAATTCTCCTTTCAAAATTAGTAACAAAATAATTTTCTCATCAAAAAATCTTAAAATATTAAAAATTAGTAGTGATGAAAATATATTTCTCACCAAATGATTTTAAAATATTTAAAACGAAGTTTCTTAAAAAAAAATTGTAAAATTATTAGTGACGAAAATATATTCCTCACTAATAATTTTATAATTGGTGACAACTTACCAAAAGTTTCAAAATTTTGGCGCCAAAAAATTTAGCGGGAAAACTTTCGGTGGCGAAACTTAATTTTTCTTCACCTAAAAAAAAGTATTTATTAACGAAAATAAATTTCGTTACCTATTATTTTTATTTTTTTATTATATGTGACAAAATTTTATAATTCGTCACGGATTATTCTTATTTAGTGATGAAATTTATTTTCTTTACTACTTTTCATCACCATAGGTTACTTTTGTTGTAGTCTTAGTCTGAAGAAATCACATATGGGACACTGCGTGTTTCATTAGTTTCAAAAATGAGGGAAAACAAAGATAGAAAAATAGAGAAATTGAGTGAGAGAGAGAGAGAGGGATACAGAGAGGACCCATACCTAAAAATAGAAAAATAAATAAATCGAATAATAAGAGGCGCTAATGGAAGAGAACATGAGGCGTTGAAGGAGACGGGCGGACGGGCTCGAAGATGCGATGTCGACAACGACACTGAATGAGGAGAACGGGTGACGATGTCGGCGACGGTGCTAGAGGAGAACACGCTGAAGGAGAACAAGGGTGCTAAACGAAGAGAGTTAACTTTTGTGTTGTTTTGAGAGAGAGAGAGAGAGATGAGAGGAAAACTGATCAACATACACACACACACACAAAACAAAAAAACAAAAAAACAAAAAAAAAAACAAAAAAAAAACAAATTAAAAGAGGGGGAAAAATTAGAAGCCTATTTTTCATTACTGCCTAATATGTCAAAATTCTCCTTTCAAAATTAGTGACAAAATAATTTTCTCATCAAAAAATCTTAAAATATTAAAAATTAGTAGTGATGAAAATATATTTCTCACCAAATGATTTTAAAATATTTAAAACAAAGTTTCTTAAAAAAAAATTGTAAAATTATTAGTGACGAAAATATATTCCTCACTAATAATTTTATAATTGGTGACAACTTACCAAAAGTTTCAAAATTTTGGTGCCAAAAAATTTAGCGGGAAAACTTTCGGTGACGAAACTTAATTTTTCCTCACCTAAAAAAAAGTATTTATTGACGAAAATAAATTTCGTTACCTATTATTTTTATTTTTTTATTATATGTGACAAAATTTTATAATTCGTCACGGATTATTCTTATTTAGCGATGAAATTTATTTTCTTTACTACTTTTCATCACCATAGGTTACTTTTGTTGTAGTCTTAGGGTTTGAGAGTTAGAGTGAAGAAGACAAACAACAACCATGTCGTTTAGGCCTAATGAGAGAACCGAGGTTTGCCGAAATCGTTACAAGGTCGCCGTCAAGGCCGAGGAGGGGCGGAGACGGAGGGAGGACAACATGGTTGAGATCCGCAAGAGCAAGTGCGAAGAGAGCTTACTCAAGAAGCGTCAGTTGTTCTGGTTGAAATTTTAGGGCTTTACGGGATTTGGAGATAGATAGCGGAAAGTTCTGGTTTTTTGATTTGGGTCTTGGTAATTTTGGTTGGATCGATTGTTCGGATTAGGGTTTTTGATTGTAATGCTTTGTTTGAGGTTTTGGGGTTTGTTGATTTGATTGCAGTTAGAGAGTCTTCCTTCCTTAGTTGCTGGTGTTTGGTCAAATGATAGCAATCTGCAACTGGAGACTACTACATAGTTTCATAAATTGCTTTTGTTAGGTTTTTATTCTTGGCAATCCCGTTTGACAAAACTCTTTTTAGTTGTAATTTTATTCGTTCTTTTATTTCAGTAAGGCTATGAGTTTTAGATACGAATCCAACCCGAATTGTGCCTTGCAGAGAAGTTTGTGAAGTTAATTCTTTCATGTTTGCCACTTCGTTGGCTATGTCAGGGATCGAGCTGTTGAAGTTGTTTGTCTACTGAAGCGGCCATTCTTGCGCTCGAGCGGAGATCGCGACATTTCAGAAGTTTCACTAGCCTGCAAAAGTATTGGGATTTATTTTTTTCCGCTTGAGCGGTCATTCTTGCGCTCGAGTGTAGATCCGCTTGAGCGGCCATTCTTGCGCTAAAGCGGAGATTGCCGATTTGTTTTCTATAAATATGTGTTTTAGTTCGATTTTAGGGTATAGCTTTCAGATCTTCTTCTTGGGTATTAGGGTTTTCTTCTGGAGCTTCTTTGCTTGTTTCCTTTGATATCTGTGAGAGTTTAAATCATGAAATGAATGGATTATATCAAAGGGTTGGTTTGTTATTTACTCTATACAAAAGAGAGAGTTGTTCTTTGGTAGATTTCGTGGAATTTTGGGCCTGAAGCTTTGGTGGATTCCGGTCGTGGATTCGACATCAGCGCTGTGGAATCAACGTTGGGCAAGACAATTCCGAGGTGAAGACGAGACGGTTCGATTTGAGCATGGATTCGCTAGGTAATTGATAGTACACTTGTGTAATTCCATTATGTCTTCTTAGTAGATTATTTTGTGATTTTTGCATGTGGTTTTTTAATCACCATTGGAGGTGCTCCAATTGTCACGTCAAAATCGTTGTGCTGATTTGTCTTGATTGTTTAATTGAGATTGTTATTTACTACTTAAAATTGATACATAATCACAAATCAATATCTAGATTTTTCAGCTTTCAATAGGTATATGATCATGTTTTGATATATGGGGCTATATTTATTCTATTTAACTTTTGGAAGATTAATTGTTCAAATTTCATTTTCAGAATGAAGTCCGCCGATTGAAGATGTTATACAATCTGGTGTTGTTCCCCGCTTTGTGTAGTTGAGGTTTGGGCATGGGAGGCGATCACCGCCAGCGGTGAAGTGGCTGATGAGTATAGGCAATCACCTTACCATTTTGCATTAATACAAACCCAAGCCTTTGTAGGATGCATCATTGTAAATTTGAAACCTATCAGTACCATTAGGTAATGTCAAAACGGTGCAGTCACTAATCTGGTTTTCAACTCTTGAAAAGCTGATTCACGCTGATCATTCTAATCAAATGGTACATTTTTCTGTGTTAGTTGTGTTAATGGCATAACAAGTTTTGAAAAGTCTTTCACAAATCTACGATAATAACCAGCAAGTCCCAAAAAGCTCCTCACTTCTGACACATTAGTTGGTCTTGGCCAGTTCACAACGCCTTCAATTTTCTGAGGGTCAATAGAGATACCGTCCTTGCTAATTACATGACCCAAAAATTCCACATTGTCGAGCCAAAATTCACATTAGGATAATTTTGCATACAACTTCTTTTCTCTCAAGATCTGTAGGGCAGTTCTAAGGTGGTTCTCATGTTCTTCCTTGCTTTTAGAATAAATTAGTATATCATCAATAAAGACAATAATAAATTCATCCAGGAATTGTTTGAACACCCTATTCATTAAATCCTTGAACGCCTCAGGTGCATTAGTTACCCCAAATGGCATTACTAAAAATTCATAGTGCCCATACCTAGTTGTGAATGCAGTTTTCTCTATGTCTTCTGCCTTAACCTTTAACTAGTGGTACCCAAATCTAAGATTAATCTTCGAAAATACTTGGGCCCCTTAGAGTTGGTCAAATAAGTCATCTATTCGGGGTAGTGGGTATTTGTTCTTCACGGTTACTTTATTCAATTCCTGGTAATCTATACATAATCTCAAGGACCCATCATTCTTCTTAACAAACAGGACTGGAGCACCCCAAGGTGAAGTTCTCGGACGGATGAATTTCTTGTCTAACAATTCTTGAAGTTGGGTTTTCAATTCTTTCAGTTTTGAGGTTGACATTCTGTGCGATGTCTTAGAAATTGGTTGCGTTCCCGATGTCACTTCAATAGTGAACTCAATTTTCCTATCAACTAAGGCTCCAGGCAAGTCATTCGAAAACACATTGGAAAATTCACAAACGACAAGAATAGTTTCCACATTAGTACCATTAGATGATGCAGTCAATACACAACACAAGTAGCCCTTACATACCTTCCTAAACAATTTAACAACTTTCATAGTCGAAATCAAGTATGGGGGAGGGACTACTCCGTTCCCAATGAAAACAAACTCAGGCATACCAGGTGGACAAAATACAACATATTTATTTACACAGTCAATAGATGCACAATACTTCGTTAACCAGTCCATAGCCAATATGCAATCAAAGTGGTCAATGCTCAAAGGCAGGAAATCAACGTACAACGTTATATCACCAATTAAAACATCACATGCCGGATATAGATATGCGCATACCATAGAACCCCCAGATGGCATAGATACATATAATAAATAATTCATGGATTCTAAGGGTCTAGTTAGTTTTCGAGAAAAGGTATGCAACACAAATGAGTGTGTAGAACCAGAATCTATCAAGACATATGCATTCTGGGCAAAAATGGAAACTATACCTGACACCACAGACTCGGTGTTTTGTACATCTTCGGGCACTAATGCAAACACTCTCCCTTGCCTTAACGTTTCATTGTCACTGTTACTCCTAGCATTAGTTCTTGTATTTGATCTTGCTGTAGAAATTGACTCGGCTAAACTTGCCACAAGATGGTTAACCTCATTGGATCTCATTGGGCAATCCCTAACCATGTGGCCAGTTTTGCCACATCAGAAACACGCACCTGATACACGGTAACATGCACCTTTATGCTTCCTTCCGCAGTTGGGGCAATTTGGAATAGATCCGCTACTTTGACTAGAGCTACTGGAAGATCCTGTGTTTTGTTTCTTCGAAAATGATCGGCCCTTCTTAAAATGGAATCCGGATCTTTTACTTCTCCATTTTGTCGTTGAAGTTATAGCTTGTTTCTTGGTTGCTATTATGGCTTCTACCATTAATGCCCTGTCAAGCACTTCCACATAAGTAGGCAATTTCAGAATGCCTACTCGATCAAATATTTCCAAGTCTAGTCCTCCCTTGAACATTCGTGCTTTCTTATAGTCTGTGTCCACTATGCGAGGAGCAGATCTGGCCAACTCGATGAACTTAGCCTCGTACTCAGCTACTGACATCTTCCCTTGCTTAAGTTCTTGGAATTCAGAAACTTTTCGGTCCCTGAAGCATTGGGGAAAGTACTTATTGTAGAATATCTCATTGAATTATGCCCATGTCATGTCCTTGTTATTATTTTTCGAACCAACAGCCACAATCTCCGGGCTTCATCCTTTAGGGTGTAGGTAGCCAAAAGTATTTTCTGAGTTGCAGAGCAAGGGAATACTTCAAATAACTTTTCCATTTCTAGCAACTAGGTTTCTGCCTTCAATGGTTCAATGTCACCCAAGAAGGTTGCCGGTTTCGTTTTCATAAGTTTCTTAGTCAAATTGATGATGTCATTATTGTCTGGTTCAACTAGCACTGGTGGAGGTAGAGGAGGTAAAGGTTGTTGTCTTAGTTGCTGCGTTATGGCTTCAGTCAAGGCCACAAGCATCTGTTCCATTCTGTTTATTCGGGCCTCAGAAGATTCGCTTGTATCATTTTCCCTTGCATTCTCCATGTTGCTATAGAGACACCAAGTAATAATAAACATAGGAATAATCTTGTTCATTTCTTTCAATTTTTATTTGTCCAGATTCAAATTCAGTTTTCGTATTTATAAAGATTACCACACACTCACACATGCAGATGGAATGCCCCTACTTCTTACTAGAATATCCTAAGCTCATATGGACTCATGTGTGCGGTAGAACACGTGCTTTGATACCATTCTATCATAACCCAAACCCGCCCTATGGGTTTAACGTCGTAACCGGCCAGTAATTCTTGGATTATCAAAGGCCTCTGAACAGATTATCATATAAGTAGGGGCTGCGGAAACAAATATAGAAACATACATAGTCCATTAAGCTGTACAGACTTATATGGACAAATTTTTTTTAACTTTTATACACATATACCTGACGTTATATTGTCACATTCGTTACAGATAGAACCAAAAATGGACTTAGCCCGATATACAGTTAACAGAAAATTTGTTCATAATTCGAAAGGAAACAAAGCCTTTACATTCACAACATGACCATACGGAACCTCCTCGGGAGGTGCAAAGGTTGGCAGACCAAAAACTCTCCAGGCGGTCATCACTGAGCCTGGCCACACGCTCGGTCACCTACATACATAAATAATAAAGTGAGCGGAAGCCCAGTGAATAATAACAAGGTAAAGAGTTTAATGAATGATATCCATGTCAGAGTTAGAAAACAAAGTTTATATCATAAACACATTCAAATCTCAAATCAGAAACAGATTCAGATTCACATACTTATCCGGAAATCAAAACAATAATAAGTGGTACATCCGTTAGCTATCATATCAACTTAGTCCTGAGACCCACATGTATAGTCGGTACCGACAACCATAAAAGTCCATATCCTTTCCGCAAGTAGCCGTGGTATTGTTACACCCAGGCGAGGGCCACATAAATATAGGTCTCGATATTGTTACCCCCGGGCAAGGGCCACGTGAATATAAGCCACGGTATTGTTACCCCCGGGCGAGGGCCACGTGCATATTGGCTACGGTATTGTTACCCCCGGGCGAGGGCCACGTGAACTAAGGATGCGACAAATATGTTTCAGAAAAATGGACATTCATTCATTCATCATACATAAAATAGCATTTCAGAGAACAGATCATATCATATCAGTCAGAAAATAATTTTAAGTAAACATAGCTTTACAAAATTATTACTCACAGATGGCTCCACTTGTAGAATAGGCAAATCGAATAACTTAAGGCGCGTGACCTATATATACATAGCAGAAACATATAATGAAACACACTCGATTGGTACTTAACTTCTTTCGTTTCAATCTTAGTGTGTTTCTAAGTCTTAACTTCTCATTGGGCCTTAATCATGGCCTAGGAGTGCCTAGGATGTAATGAGGACACTAAAATGCACTCGAACACATTTTACAAAACTTGCTGAAAATAAGGGTCCCGTTCAAGCGCAACTTCTTTCACTCGAGCGGACATGCAAACATGTAAGGGGACACTCGAGCGTGAACCCCCCCCTTTGCTCAAGCGGTTTGTAAACTTTAGAAAAGTACTGGTTGTATGAAATCTCCGCTTGATGGTCGCTCGATTCTTGCTCGAGCGTGAGACTCATGTCCTGGCTCGAGTGCAACTTTCGCCGCTCAAGCGGTCTGTAAAACATGCAAACTTCTGGAAGCATGCATTTCACGCTCGTGCGTACTTTAGGTCGCTCAAGCGGATGTGCAAAAACAAAGGTGGCCGCTCAAGTGCGGAATCCATCGCTCGAGCAGAAGTGCAGAATTTGGAATTTCTAGATTGCACTTTCAAGCTCCAAACTTGAATTCCACACCTCAAAACTCATTTTCTTGGGCCATAATTCTGGAAAACATTTAGGAACTTGCAAAATATCATGTTTTAAAGATCATTTCATGAAATTAAGACCCAAAAACATGTTAATTGTGCAAAATCCAACTTGAAATGTAAGAACATGATATGAACATGGCATGCATATATTCATTTGAGTTCATGGCTTTCAAAACATGATCAAATAAGGTCCAATGGTGAGAAATGTTATGAATTCTTCAAACCATGTTAGAATTACAACATGCATGAGAGGAAATCTTTGAAAACAACTTCAAAATGCTATAAAATGTGCATGCATGTATGGTATGGTTTAATTCTCTTCATCTCTAATTCAATTCTTACATTAATCAACTCAAATCTCTAGAGTTTATGTCTTACACATCAAAATTGTTCAATCTAAGGGTTGGATTCTTACCTAGGCTTATCAAGATGAGAGCTAGAAGCCTGATTCTTGAATTTCTAAGTCCAATTCCTTTAATTCTAGCAAATTCTTCCCAACCACAAGTGTTGCTATAAAACTCTCACTCTTGGTCTCTTTCTTTCTCTCTCACATTGGTTTGTTTATATAGGCTCAAAGTGCATTGAAATGAACAAAGAGGTTAAGTGGTGGTACATTTAGTGCCTTATATAGGCTTAGATAATAATGTAATTAATTGTTGATCAAACTAATCAAGTAGACATTAATTGATTCTAATTTAATCGTTTCGTACTGAATTTTAATTAAACTTACTATAAAATTCTAAAAATTCTAATTAACACGTAAATCAAGTCAATTTCTAAATTGGATACCAATAAGGCCTTCAATTCGCAAACCAAAGCGGAAACATGAATAGGTCTTTCTACGTGAAACAGATATAAATACAAATAAGGCAATATATGATGCAAAATTTCACTTTAATTACTTATCAAGCATAATTAAACATGGTTTAACGTTAATCATGGGTTGTGGTTGTTACACATTCATTGTACATAACATAATATTTCATAAAATAGATCTTATTCCACACACAAAAAATAAATAAAGTTGAACATAACTTTACTAAGTTGTTACACACAGATGGCTCCGAAACAAACAATAGAGTAGACAAATCATGTAACTTGCGATGCGTGACCTACATAGATACATAACAAATACGTACTGAATTATATACCCGGAATTATTAACTGAGTTCTTTCTTCTTTTGGTGTGTTTCTACTTCTTATCCTCATTATTATGTCTTAACTAGGGCTTAGGAATGCCTAGGATGCAATGTGTTATCCCGGGTAGGCAACCCAAGAGGGGGGTGAATTGGGTTATTAAAAAATGTTACAATATTAAAAATAATAAACACAATATTTAGAATTTTAACAAATAAAAAAATAGAACAATAATTATCAATATAAAAGTAAGAGAGATAGGGAGAGAAAATCAAACACTGAGATTTATAGTAATTCAGCACGCCGGGCCTACGTCCACTCCCCAATGAACCTCTGTAGACACTCCATTTTTGACGGCCCTTACGACTTGGACGTCATTGCTTGCACACCCAATGATGAATGTGTATATGCTTGTCAAATGCACGAAGTCCTCAGGGGAATGCCAATATGTCATGCTTGGACGTTATCGACTTAGACGTTATCAATATGTCATGCTTAATGGTTAAATCTCTTAGGGGGTTCATTACCAACTGTATGATGTCCCTTTCATGCCTAAAACAACTCTTGGTTTGAGTTTTCTTTTTATTAGAAGACTTCAATTCACCTTTTGGACTCAATTAATTAAGGAATGGATGGTAATCTAAAATGAAGTAATAAAATTGAGGCTAAAAAAGGTACAAGATAATAACTTGTTTCGGTTTAATCGGACGTTAATTGAACCCTTGAGTCTTGATTCGTTTCATACTCATTAGTAATGAAAACGGTTTAAGATTCATTGTCAACTACTTCTTCTGATCTTTCATGATAGGGAGGTGGTTTTGAGAGTCTTGTTTTGTTGCATTCAATGAACTTGCACACTTTGGTTCATAAGCCATCATGCAATGAAATTGCATAGATTGATAGTTTGTGAATCAAGTTTTACTACTCCTTTAAGCTATTCAAATGATAAGGAGGGGTAAGTTGTGTAAACAAACCCTTGAGAATACACTGTCTCTGCTCTATTTGCTCTCTGTTGCAGTAGGACAACCCTATCAGCAGTGGCCGATAGGCCACTATTGGTGGCCGGTAGGCCATCATCAGTGGACAGTAGGCCCTCTGTCGGCCACCAGTGCAAAATCAATTAGAGTTCTTTTGAAGCAGAACAGAGTTGGTTTGGAGGTGGAAATTAGTGCCAATGTTTACTGTGTAATAGAGGCATTCAGCAACAGAAACAGTGGCTTTTTCGGGTGGAAACCGCATTCATGCATGAGCCCTTCATCGATCTTTGGGATCCGTGTTGTAAATATTTTAGTGTTGTAATTAAAATAGCAGCTTTGTAATTCATTAGTTAGAACAACTAATTCATCTCATGTTATAATTATTTTAATTAGCTAGAATAGTTAATTAATTAGTTCGAATAATTAAGTAGTTTAGCTAGTTTAATTTGTTTTGTAATAATTAGCTTAGTTTTAATTAGTTAGCTAGTTAGCTAGTTAGTTTATTCAGACCCTTCTGTGTAAGGGCGCAATGTTGTAATAATGTGTATGTCTTCCAACCCCACGTCTTCTCCTTTTTATTTACTAGCTTATGATGGTTAGTTTAGGGCATCGTATTTTGTTTAGCATAACTCATGTTTGCATCCACTTGTATTGCATGCACCGAGGCTCGGTTCATCATTCTAACTTGCAACGTCGTTTTAATACTTCTTTGAATACATGTTTAGATCGCATGCTATCAAGTTGCATCATATGCCATATTAGTAGCCGAGCCTAGTAATTGCATATC